ATTGCATGTTTGATCAATTTCAGATTGAAGAAGTTGGTAGAATTCTTCTATTTCATCCTCACTGGCTTTAGTGGTTGGTATGTGTAAATGTGAATAATAGTGGTATTAACTGATCTTCCCTGTAGGCGCATGGATAGTATCCTATCACAGACAGCGTTGTATCTCATGACTGATCTGGATATGTTCTTTTTGACAATGAATGCAACATTATTCCTCTTCAATTTGTCTTCCCAGCATTATAAACCATGTGGTTGTCAGATTCACAATGGCCAATACCAGTCCATTTCAACTCAATAATGCCTAAGATATCGATGTTTATGCAATCCATTTTTTTTTGACTTTTTATTGTGAATTGGGTGAATAAATTTTTCATTCAAAACTTCATACACATTTTGTTGCATGTCGTCATTGATGGCAATTCCCACAAAGTAACATCACTTATCCCTATTCCTCCTGTTGTTTTCTGTTTCCCTTCTTCCTTCTTTCCTAACCATTCTGAATTGCGTCCTACAAGGTTTCCATATCTTCTTAGTGTTATTATTCCTCTTATAGGCCTGTCTATTGTTTGGCTGAAATTTGAGTCATGGGAGTGAGTTCATTCCCAGACATGAAGGGTGACTAATGGCCATACATTGTAATTCTGTACAGAAGTAGACAGTCTCATCTTTCTCCCATGGAGTGGCTGGTGGGTTTGAACCAATGAACTTTCAGTGCTTAGCCCACAGCACCACCAGGGCTCCTTCTTATGGGTTTAGGTCTTTTCATTAGTTTTCCTGATAATTCCTTTAGTGGACTACTACTGGCTGCTGTAAGTCTGGAAGATTCTTCATTTTTAATGGAAATTTGGTTAGTTCCTCTGGTCATTTCAAGATGGAAAGGATGGACATCACATTCCTGAGAAAGTAGCAAATGATTCTGAGCATTGCTAGTTCTATTATTTAAGTCAATTCTTTCTGATTAAGTCATAAGCAATTGGGCTGAGTTAGAATTTTCCAATTTTTTGTTACAAAACATGCTGTAGTTCATGCTTTTTAGTTGGATACATGGGCTCAGCCAATGAGTGCTGCTTCACTGTATTCAGACTGTGTGCTCTTATATGGGACCAAGTTGTAGAATAAAAACCTTCGGTGTCTAACCAGAATTTAACCAAATGCTCCATTCTACAAAGTTCCATGAATTGAATGAAGCAAGGGAGAACAACAGTATCATGTAAGACTTGGTCAAGGGTCTTTTAGAGGCTTGATTTGGTCTTGAGTCTGATAGTCCAGACAAGATCTACCAAGGTCACCAAAAGGAGCAGCATCCATGTAACTTAGCTGCTTTTTAAGTGTTGCTGTCCTGCTATTGGAAAAGGAGTCCATGTTGACAGAAATGGCATTGATTGCAACATGACTTGGTCCTGCATCCTCCAGCAAGGCATGGTTTTTAGTGCTTTCTTGTAGGGAATGAACAGACACCTGAGTTGACTTGACATCTGAGGTCTTCTCTTGTTCTTTACCTTTCACTTTCCACCAGAAGAAAGACATGCTGGAACCCTGGTAGGGGCTGAGGGCCCTGGGGGCCTGTCACGGGGAGGACCCTGCTCCCTCATTCAGCAATTGGCCCAGACTTCCGGGAGCACAGTGGTCGCCGCACTAGCCTGAAAGGAGACGCTTTTTCGGGATGTGGGCCCCACAGCTTCCTAGAGATGCCTGGGCAGCACCTGCTGCCATATTACCAACAAGCCACCCACCCTCCATTTTGTTTTTGACAATTTCCAATTTTCCTGGATTCATACTTTGTACCTTCCATGTTCTGATTATTAATGGATGTCTGCAGCTGTTTCTCTTCATTTTGAGTTGTGTCTTATCAGCAAATGAAGGTCCTGAGGGCTTTACTCCCATGGGCTTTATTCCATTTGAATCATCATGGTCATCTGTACTTTGAGGAGGCAGCTCTTCCCCAGTTGCAACCTAAGGGGCTCATTTTGCGGCACTGTATGTGACAGTGTTTCTCTGCTATTCTTAAGGATTTTAGTTACTAAATATTCAGAAGTAGTTTGTCTCTCCTTCTTGCTAGTCTTTTCTGGAAACTTATCTGAAATCTGTCCACCGTGTGTGACCCTGCTGGTATTTAAAATAGCTTCCAGAATCACAGCAACTTACAAGCCACTTCAGTAAGTTGACAGACAAGTGGTGGGCTCCACTATTGCGACTGTCTTATTCTTCAAAATCTCCATCTTAGTTCAGATACACAAATCCTCATTGTGATTTGTTTGTCTGTCCTCTCACCTGATGGAGCTCTGGTGGCTGGCAAATTGGTTAAGTGAGCTTGGTGCCAAACCAAAGCTCTGTGGTCTAGCAGTCGTAAGAGAAAGATGTGGTAGTGTGCTTTTTAAAGCTTTATAGTCTTAGAAACCCTAGAGGTGGTGATGGGGGACAGTTCTACTCTGTCCTATGGGATCACCCAGGCCATTGTGTTTTCAATAGCCTCATATGGATGAGAAAGCTGGACAGTGAATAAGGAAAATCATAGAAGAATTGATGCCTTTGAGTTGTGGTGTTGGAGGAGAATACTGAAAGTGCCATGGACTGCCAAAAGAACCAATAGATCTGTTTTGGAAGAAGTGCAGCCAGAGTGCTCCTTGGAGGCCAGGATGGCTAAGCTTCGTCTCTCATACTTTGGACATATTGTCTGGAGGAAACAGTCATTGGAGAAGGATGTCATGCTGGGTAGGGTGGAGGGTCAGAGAAAAAGAGGAAGACCCCCGACGAGATGGATCAGCCAGGTGGCATCATTGATGGACTCAAGTGTGGCAGCGGTAGTGAGGTTGGCCCAGGATTGAACATTGTTTCGTTCTGCTGTGCATGGGGTCGCTATGAGTCGGTTCCGACTCGATGGCACCTGACAACAACAGTGGGATCACTGTGAGTCTGAATCAACTCTGTGAGCAAGGAGTTGTTTTTAGCTTTGGGATTCTCTCAGGTTTCAGCCAGGTGCTAATGAGGATTTTCTCTGCCTGAGCTCCTGATGGCTTTGAAACAGTGAGGAAGGCACATTGGTCCTTTGGCTGCAGTGAGAAACTGGTCTTCACTTCAACTCTTATTTTTTTTCTCCTCCAGTAATGTATGCTGTAGCCACTTTTCTCTTGATTTACCTAGGGGTGAACATATTTTTCTACATCAATACAAATTTTCTCCCCAGGACCACATAATAATATTGCAAGGACTATTCTTCTCATTAAGAATGCCTTTATAATGAAAATAAACTCCAGGGAGGCTACTGCTCCTGTTGTTGTTAGGTGCTTTTGAGTGGGTACTGACTCATAGACAACCTATCTATGCACAACTGAGCGAAACACTGCCCGGTCCTGGGCCAACCTCACAATTGTTGCCGTGCTTGAATCCACTGATGCTGCCACTTTGCCAATCCATCTCTCTGGGGGTCTTCCTCTTTTTCTCTGAGCCTCCACCTTACCAAACATGATATCCTTCTCCAGTGACTGGTCCCTCCTAACAATATGTCCAAAATATGAGAGACGAAGTTTGGCCATCCTGGCCTCCAAGGAGCACTGGCTGCACTTCTTCCAACACAGATTATAAAAACCAGGATTATGGTTTTGTCAGTGTTGGGTCAAAAGTTATTCTACAGGCCGGCTGCCAGGCCTTGCTGAGTGGAGCACAGGCTCGCTGCAGCGCTGCCAGGGACTCATGTGTTGCTGTCCTCTGTCACCCGCAGATGGCTGCACCCCTCGGGGCCACAACTGTCGAGGGGACCACAGCAACAAGACGGAGGAGCCACTCCATGCCTTGGACCGGGTGCTGGTAGAGTTCTTGGTGTGCGGGCTCTCCAAGAAGCTGCTTGGATATGAAACATCAACAAATAAATTAATTTTATTCATTTAATTATTTATTGGGAATAGCATATCCAATTGCTGAAGGCATTCCTAATATTATATTACAGGCTGTTTAGAATGATACATCAAAATAAGAAGAAAGAAGAAATGGAGAAACACTAAACCATAATTAAGGAAAAAATGCCCATGCACAACTGAATTCTCATACCATTTACCTTTGAACAAATCAGTGTGGTAGGCAACAAGTGTGGGGGAAGGATGTTTCTCTGTCTTCTTACCTTGACTGTTCTTGTCCCTCTGGTTTCTCTGGCAGGACTGTTCTACTCAGCCTCTGTGGAAGACAGTTTCCTTCAGGGCTGCACCGGCACTGCCAGCTTGTGCGTTTACTGTCTGCTCTTGCCCATGACCATACTGGTTTATGTGTTCTACCTTTGGACTTGGATGGGTATTAAGTTCTTCAGACATAATTAATGTAACTAGAGCCAAGATGGCATATATAATAATGATGCATCTTAGGCCTCTTTCTCTGCAAGTTCAACTAGTTTGAAATACTGAAATCCTACTTAGTTTGCAGGAAAGACATCTTACTTTGTTTCTGTCAGAGGCTTAGGGATATGGATGCTTATACTGCTACTTTTATTGTACTCTTGTTCTGCCCTTATAATTTGAAGATTCTAATTTATAACAACTTTATTCAAAGAAACATTTTGACAATTGGAGATTAATAGCCCTAATCATCAGCTGATAACTTTATTCCTTATCCCAGTCTTTTAAAAGTTAGTCATTTCAAATACTGTTTGTTTACATTCAAATACTTTAGTCAAGTCATATACTAGGAATGACTAAAATAATTCCAGAGGAGCTATATGAAAGTAATTGTAGAGAAATATTTGATATAAAAAACCTTACATAAAATGGAATTTTCACATACTTATAAAATTCTAGGCTTGTAAAATTACCTTCATTTCTCTGGTGTCAAATGATAATATTAATAATAAAATGAGTCAGTACTTAAAAAAAAAAAAGTCATCCTATATTAACTGAGAATGTCTATAAGTCATCAGAGATAGAAGAGGGACCCTTTCTGGCCCCCTGCATTGAGGAGGGAGTGAATTCTACTTGATTTGCTAAACTGAGGGTCTGAGAGGTTTGATATACCAAAGGAGATTATCTAAGTAAAAGAAATGCAGATTTTGGAATGAAAGGTGTCTTATCAGTTTGACCATGTACAAGTATATCTGAAAATTGAAAAACATATGTAATGTGTTTATGCTCAGAAGGTAATGTTAAGGAAATAATCAGATACACAAAAATATATTTGAAGTTATATATTTTAGCATTTAAAATATAGAAATACAACATATATATTTATAATAACACATCTCAGAAGTATAGCCAGACTTCTTCTACTTCTATTTTAAAAAAGAAAATGCAACTTTTTATTATAAATTGGATGAAGGTTTACAGTAGAGTGCTTCTTAGTATTGAAGATAGTGAAGAAGATAGCTTCTTAGAATCAAAGATATTATCAGAAGGGATCAGTCCTGAGGAAGGACATAATGCTTGGAAAAACAGAGTCAGTGAAAAAGAAAAAGACCCTCATGGGAGATGGGTGATACCATGGCTGCAACAAAAAGCTCAAACACTGAGCAGTACTTCATTCTTTCATAAAACGCCCCCTAATAACAATAACAATTTATAGTGGATTATGAGCAGGGCTGCTAACTGCAAGGCCAGCAGTTTGAATATGCCAGTCACTCTGTGGGAGACAGATTTGGCATTCTGCTCCCATAAAGATTTACGGCCTCATAAACGGTAAATCTTTATGGGAGCAGACTCAGTGGTTTACAACCAGCTATATTGGTTAACTATGTTATAGAAGGCTCATTTATAACATGGAGTTTTCAGGAAAATTTCATGAAATACTCAAATACTCATTAAATAATATTAAGCAAAAAAAGGGAATACATAGTTAAATCTTATTATTACAGAAAAGAAAAATACATATTTTTCAAGATACTAAAAGGGAATATGCCAAGTATTAAAAGAAGCTAGCTCTAGCCAGAGTGGGATTACAAATAATTTTTATCTTGTCCTCTAAACTGTTAACAATTTCCAAATTTTCTACAATCTGTAAGACTTAGTTTAAAATGTCAATTCTTAGAGTTAGTATCTAGTCAGTTCCAATTCATTGTGACATTATAGGACAGAGTGAATTACCCCATAGAGTTTCCTAGGTTACAAATCTTTATGGAAGTAGACTGCCACATCTTTCTCTTATGTAGCAACTGGTGGGTTTGAATAGCCAGTCTTTTGGTTAGCAGGTGAGTGCTTTAATCATAGCACCACCAGGGCTCCTTTAGTTGACCTTAGAGGCTTACTAAGTAGTCAGTTTAAGTACATGTTCCACACATGCTTGAAAAAACACACATTCTTTATTTGATGATGCAAATTTCTCTGTCTCTCCCTTTTCTATATGCTTTTAAAATACTCTGAGTCTGTTTGGTTTTTGTCCTAACAGTTTTTAAGAAATGTATTAAAATCTCCTACACGTTGGTGGGCCTATTAATGTCTCCTAATTCTGTCCATTTTTGTTTGGGGTAATTTCACACTGTATTATTAGATACATAAAGTTCTGTATGTTCTCAGAAGGCAGTCTCTATAACTCAAGGCTTTTGTTTTAAATTCTATTTTGTCTGACATTAAAGCTACTGGTAGTGCTTTTTGTTGGTGGTGTGTTTTTGCACCTTTTCTTTGTCTTTTGTAACATATTAATTTTTACTATGTCTGTTTCCCCCCCCCCCATTTCTAGATTTTAAGTACTATTGTTGTTATAAACTTTTTACAGCTGGATTGTAAAAAACTTTAATCAGCACATGTATCATTGTATGTCATAGAAAGTATATAGAAACAATGTATTCTGCAATATTTACAGAAAAACATCCTACCATTACTTATTGTCCCTCCTCCCTGCTTCCCATGGGCTGGAAGAAAGTATATTGAACAATTTGGGGTGTTTCTTCTAGCATTTATTCAATATTGCATCTTACAATAATATGTTTATAATGCCATTTCTTGATTTTTCAGTTTTAGGTGGTGGTGGTGGTATGCTGTGGAGTCGGTTCCAACTCATAGCGACCCTGTACAGGGTTTTTGAAGCTATAAATCTTTATGGGAGCAGAATGCCAAATCTGTCTCCTGGGGAACCACTGGTAGTTTCGAACTGCTGACCTTTTGGTTAGCAGTCCAATTCATAGCCACTACTTTTTTTTTAATTTAAGGTTTTTATTGTGGATTGAGTGAAAGTTTACAGTGCACATTATCAGTTTCACATTCAACAATTCATATAGATTGTTTGATTACATTGATTATAATCTCCTCCATATACCATCAGTTAAAAGTATTTCTGTCTATCCACTTTACCTTTTTTAAAAAACACACAAACAAAAAAACCCACTCAGGCATATATAATAATTTACATCTTGAAAGGGCACATTCTGCAAGTCTGCTCCTGGCCACCAGTTCTTAGTCCTTCTCTTCTTAGTTGATGAATCTAGAGTCC